AATCTTTGCAATAAGAACCTGCTCATGCATGCTACACCAGGGCACAAAAGACTCAGTTGAAAAGGATGATTGTCCCTTTGATGCTTACCAATATAAACGTGCAGCCTTACCTAATATAATGTTAATCACCTTACAACTCTGCTAATTTTCCTGTTTGGAAACAACGATGACATTATGTTTGAAACGGGGGTTGAGCATGAAACAAGATTTTGACAAAATAAACACTTGATGAGGGTTGTGAGTAAGGATACTGGCATGAAAACTAGACATTCAAGCAAACAGATATGTTGCTCCATTTTCCAGCCCACAGCAAAGATCTTCCACTTCATATAATCTATTCTTTTGACCTGCCTCTACCTCTTTGATTACAATATCAGATAAATTAGTTTGTTCATGCCTTAAAGGGTGGAGATTCAGATAATAGATAGTGAAGACATTCTTGAGTCTTTGATTGGCAATTTTCCCTACTTCCAGAATAAACAGGACTTCTATAACTTCAATTTTTGAGTCTTTGATAGTGAAGACATTCTTGAGTCTTTGATTGGCAATTTTCCCTACTTCCAGAATAAACAGGACTTATATAACTTCAAATTTTTCTATTCTTCTTTATGTAGAGTAGAAAATTTGAAATCAAGCACCATTGAAAATTAATGGAGGACTAACCTGTAAAACTCTTATCTAATGCTTGCTCCACAAGAACAAAACCCAAAGGATCAACCGTATTGTCATCTACATGTGAGATCAAGCCAGCCAGCATTTAACAAACAACAATTACCGATGTGAAACACTGTGATATACTTTTTTAAGCCCGTAAAAGAGTTCCTAGATAATTCTGTTTTATCACCTTCAATATACTGCATTGTAATATCAGCCATCAGGTCCTCCTCCATTAAACTCAAGTACTCAACGCGACATGGCTCCAAGACACAGAATATCATGAAAAAAGCATGGCCAGAAAAGAAATGGATGGAAGTTCAAACACATGATTGACAAAATAAATGCAAATCATCAATTGCATCTGTGACTTTTTATACTTGCTACTATATGTTGCCTAGTTGAATATCTGACAAGAATACAAATTAAAAAATACCGAAGACATTTGGTACAAAGGGTGAAGAGAGTGAACCCAAAGGTAAAGTGGTATAAGTCTTTCCAGCTCAAAAGGAGATAATACGAGTTGATAATACGTGAGAATTTTTTGAAGTATACAGATATAAATTATGTTCTCATATTTATTATTCCCCATACAACAAAGAAATAGAAGCAAGAAAAAAAAGGGGCAAATTATAAATGCACCTTAGAGGCTCTTAAATAACGATGACTAAAGAGCTGCCCCAACAAAGGAAAGTACAAAGACTAATAAGGTGAATTTCCTCGAACCCAAAGCACTACTGCACTAGAAATTATGGTAGTTGATCACATATTTAATGATCAAAAACACAAATAGCCACAATACAAAGCACTCGAATTATGGTAAATTGATCACATTTTATAATCAAAAGCACAAATACTAACAACACAGATCACTCAAACTATGGTAACTTGACCACATATTATGATCAAATACACGAATACCCACAACACAAAGTGCTCGAATTATGGTAACTTGATCACATATTATGACCAAAAACACAAATACTCACAACACAAAGCATTTGAACTATGATAACTTGAACACATATTATGATCAAGTACACAAATACCCACAATGCAAAGCACTCGAATTATGGTTACTTGATCACATAGTATGATCAAATAGACATAAACCCACAACACAAAGAGCGCGAATTATGGTAATTTGATCACATCCCACAACTCAAATTTCTCCATAAAACTCAACCAAACAACCTAGTAAATTAGTTAAACTTGAGCTAAAACTCAAAACCCAAAATCAAACCAAACCATAACCCCAATTCATGTGCACACAAAAGAGAAAATCCAAGCTTATTCCTCACCACAAAAATTATTGAAACTACCAAATTAAAAAAAAAAAAAAAAAAAAAAGGAGTGATGAGATACCTGTTTGTACTGCAATTCAATAGTATAAGACAATAGCATGGGACTAATATCACCAGCATCAGGTCTAGAGACATGAACTATACTGCCTTTAGGCAACTCCTCAAAAATCCGAGTTGACTCAGTCGGCTCGCCTAAATTGAATGTGAAGAATGACGACGACGTCCTCGCCGGAGCAGGTGCCGCAGTCGAAGGCGGCTCTTCCGATTCCATTTGCAAGTAAGATGGCCCTTCGCCGCCGATTAATCTTTCCGATGCCATTGGAAATTCGATAAACTATCTTAGAAATAGATCAAATGTAAAATAATTTTAATGATGTAAGGAATTTTGGAATTTTGAAAGAATTTAAATATGAAGAAATTGATCCGAAAATACTGAAATTGTATGAATTTGAGTATGAATATGAATATGAGATCCAATGCAAAAAGAATGTTGAAATTGCGTGCAACAACTAACGAGCATAGACAGAGGGAGACGCGGAGGGAGGAGAGAGAAAGAGACAAAGAGCTAAGTCAAATACGGAAGGTCTTCTTTTAAGTTCCTCTCGCTCATATATGTTGCGCTTTTTTTGTTTTAAAGGACTATTTAAATTTAAATCTAAGTAAACCTTTGTACTATTCACCTGACAAAAAACCTTTTAAAAAATACTGTAATACTTCTCAATTTTCTAAACATATAGGGCACAAAGTTTAAAAAGAGGAGAGAGATAAAGAGAATAAAGATAGGAACTCATGTGATGAAAGAGAGACGTAAAACATGTGCAAATATTAAAATGATAATTGTTACGAGTACAATATTTGTGGTGCATAAAGTTTCATACATGGCTAGCCATACTATACGGCCAGAGTTACTTATTCAGTTCTAACTCGGTTGGTCAGGAGTTACTTGTTCCATTAGGGGTTACTTGGTCGGTCAAGGATTAGTTGGTCGGATAAAAGGTTACTTAATCAGTGTTTTGTTAGCTTAGCCAGCCACACAAAACCGGCTGTTTGTGGTGAGGAGAGAGAAAGACAGAAAACATGTGATGAGGAGAGAGAAAGATAGAAAACATGTGCAAATATAAAAATGTGCAAATCTTAAAATGATAATTGTTGCAATATTTATGGAACGAAAGAAGTTTCAACAAAAAAAAATAGCTTAGTAAAAGCAATTTTATTTAAGTTAAAACAATTTTTTTAAGGGTAAAAATTAGTAGTTTACAGGAAAAAAAATATAATAAAAAATCGGTTAAAAAATTACTTCAGTAAAATTAATTTTAGTTTAGTAAAAATAATTTAAGTTTAGCATGAAATATTTTAAATTTAGTAGAGCGGCAAGTAAGGGACCATGAAGACAGCCCACCCCAACCTGTAGGAAAAATAATTTCAATACGGCAAAAATAAGATGAAGAGAAAAGGCACAAGTACTACCTTCGTGTAACTATGTTCTTTAATGATAAAGTAAGCTAAGGATTAGCTCTTTTCATCCAGGGAGGCCAGGTTCTCTTCTTCTTCTTCCTCCAATCTTGTCCCCCTTTCATCTTCTTCGTTTCCTTCTTCAAGCAAGCTACTTCAATGGAGAACACCAAACCCTAACACCATCATTTTTGGCGGCTTCCTGCCAAATTTAATAAAAATCCTAAGGAAAAATGTAGAAATTAAGGAAATAATTAACCCTAAAGCTAGGGTAGATATTTGTCGTTTGTTGTGTGATTTCCCACCTCTATAGTGTTCACCGTACCATTGACGATGCTCCTGAGCTTCGTGTTCATGAATTTTCCATTAAAGAAGCTAGAGCTTTCTTCTTGAAAATGGCAAAATCATCCCTATTCTAACGCAAGAAATGACGAGAAAGACTTGTAATATATTTTGCAAGTTCATCACAGAGATAAACTTGTATTTTCTCCTTTTCAATTTATTTCAAATTAGTTTAAGGTGTGTTGTGTTCACCTTACGAAAGGAAAAAAAAAAGTTTCAGGGTAATCAAGTTTAATTAGAGTCGATTAGGTCTAATTAGGTGTACATATAACATGAAAATTAGAGATAATTAGATAAGCTGAGTTGAAGAGAACACATTGATACTAGAGACATTTAAAGTGAATATTAAGCTTGTTGGAAAAAAAAAAAAAAAACAAAAAACAAAAAAAAAAAAAACCTTAATAAACTTGAAATAAATATTGAGTAAAAATACTAAAGTTTTAATAGGAAATAGATAAAATTAAATGCTAAAAAGATCTTTATGGTTTTACATGACGTGAAGGATAGAAAAATACCAAAATTAGCCTATGGCCTGCTAGCTCACATGCCCACGGTATGGATCGTGGCACTATCCAGCCCTAACACGCACCACAACCTGCAAGGTCCACGAGCAACATCTAGCGCCACACACGACCAACGGCGCTAGCTGCTGGGCCTCGCTTAGGCATGGCACCAAGGCTCAGCTATGCCAGCAGCCTTGGTTAGTCTTGCTGCTAGTGCGTCAGGCCTCGGCTGGGCCTAGTGCCTTGCTATTGGTCTAGCAACCCACGAGCATGCCCTTAGTTCATTGCTAATTGTAGCTGATCATCTTGGTTCATCACTTGCAATCGTTTGATCCAATTGACGATTTGCGCTTGGATCGGACTTGACACGTCTAGGCCCAACGTCCGATGCATTGATCTCAACTCTATTTATTCGATGTGTTTGGGCCTTTGTGAAAGAATTGTGCGCAAATTCTTGGCTGCATTCTAATGCAGTCAAGCTGGTTGCATCCATCTAAAATGCAAGCTTCTCTCTATCAAACGCAAGTTCCATATTCTTCTTCAACATTCCTTTTAACGTTCTTCCCGCTAGAACTTTCCTTTTTTTTTCTTTCCTTATTTTGTTTATTTGAATCCTTTCTTCATTCAAATTACAAATTTGTTGCAATTTTCTCTCTCCTCTTTCTTTTCTTCCATTCGATATTTTCTCTCTCCTCTTGTTTTCTTCTAATCAAGAAATTCTCTCTCCTCTGTTCTTTGTTTGATAATGGAGCTGGTTGTTGTTTTAAATGAAATCATCAATGCAGGTTAGTTTTTGTGTTGTTCATAATTAATTAGGCTATATTTTTCGTTGAAATTGTAATTATTTTTTATTTTTATAATTCTATGAATTTAATGAATTTCAATTTACTCTTGATTAATTGATTTTGATGAATTGATTGAATTTGATGAATTTTGTGATTCCTTTTATTAATTGCTTTTCTGATTTTATAATTTGATGAATATTGTGCTGCGTTTTGTTAATTCATTTTGTGATTTTATAATTTATGAATATGCAATGAATTTCATGATTTTTTTTGAAGTTCAATTTACATTTTGCGAAGCATTTGATGAATTGCACTCTTTTAGTTTACAATTTCTATTGAATTCTTGAATAAGTTATGAATTCGTGAATTTCTTAATCTGTTATGTATTCTTTTGTTATTATGATTTTTTTTTATTGAATTTGTTTTTCAATTCGTTTTATGAATATTTTTTACATTTAACATTGTATATGTTTAATATTCACATTTTGAACATATATCTATTTAATATGAACATTCCATTTATATACTATGAACATTCATTCTCCAGACTATGAACATTGTTATTTCACTATATATATTTATTATGAACATTCATTGTACAGATTATGACTACTCTATTATTTTTATTATTACAGAGAGTATAAATGCAGTTGTATTTAAGGAAGTTGAAGTATCTGGATTAATGATGAGGAAAGAAGTTCGAAGTGAGCAAAAAGCGTTTGATTTGTACAATGATTATGCCTTTAAGATTGGTTTTAGTATAAGGAGGAGCAATGTACGAATAGCTTATAAGACTAATATTTGGCGAAGTAGGAAATATGTATGTTCAAATGCTGGTTTGAAGGATGATTCTAAGAAGGATGTTAGGAGGTTTGAGAAGTTGGATTTTCGAACAAATTGTGGTGCTTTAGTTGAGTTCATTATTGATAAACATGGTGTATGGACTGCTGTGCAACATCTTATGGAGCATAATCACCCTATAATACCAATTGATATGATACATTTGCTTAGGTCTCAAAGAAAAGTCAATAAAGAACAATTGAAGGTGATTAATGTTATGAAGGCTAGTGGTGTGCGGGTTACTGATTCTATTCGTCTTTTGAGTAAAGAAGTTGGTGGCTCCCTAAACCTAGGGTGTACTAGGAAGGACATATACAATGCTTTGGATGTTGAAAAATCCAATAGACTTGATGATTCGGATTGTAATCAGTCGATCAAATATTTTGCTCAAAGGCAAGCGAAGGAATCAGATTTTTATTATGAATTTGAGGTAGATGAAACTAATTCTCTTACTTGTACTTTTTGGAGGGATGGAAGGATGAAAAGAGATTATAAATTTTTTGGGGATATGATGGTTTTTGATACAACCTATAGAACTAACAAGTACGACATGATATGTGCCCTATTTGTTGGGATGAATTACCATTGTAACAATGTTATGTTTGGCATGGGATTTGTTCTTGATGAAAAAACAGCTAGTTTCATATGGTTGTTTGAATCCTTCATGAGATTAATGGGAGGAGGGCGTCATCCTACAACTATAATGACTAATCAAACACCATCTATTGCAGCGGGTATTCAGGCAATTTTCCCAAGTTCTAGGCATCGTTCATGCACATGACACCTTGGGGAGAACTCAAAAACAAATATTGGAAAATATAGAGCTATTAAGGGGTTCACAGATCTATTTGATTATCTTGCAAATTACTGTGAAACTGCTGCAGAATTCGAACATTATTGGCCAAGGTACATTGTTTTTATCTTATAAAAACTTTTTATGAACTTTTTCTATGTATAAATGAACAAATAAAATAATAAAATGAACATGTATTTCTGCTATATTATTTATTTATTACGGAGTATTAATATTTTGTTCACTGCTATTCATGTTAAATATCTTGTTTGTTTTTTGAACATTTTTAATATGTAATGAATATGTTGCATTTTATGAACTTTGTTTAATATTTTATGAATTAATGTATGAATATACATAATATAAACTTATACATATTTTGTTGTTCACTTTTTTTTGGAAATGAACATGTTGATATATATATATATATATATATATATATATATATATATAGTTTTATGAACATAAGTTTTTATTTAAACATAGTTTAAAATTATATGAACATAGTATTGTAATTTATGAACAGACAAAAGTTTGAATCTGTTTTTTTAATAGGATGAACAAGTATGAGTGCAATGATAATGGTTGGTTGAATCCTTTGTACTCAATCAAAGAAAGATGGTGTCTCGCCTACTTGAAGGAATATTGTTCGAGAGGAATTTTGAGTTCACAAAGGAGTAAAACCACAAACCGTTCGGTTTCTCATAGGTTGAGGAAGACGGATGATTTGTGTGATTTTTACAAGACTTTTCTTGATGTTGTGTCTGAGTGGAGGAGTCGGAAAAGCAAACAAGGCTTTTAGTTTTTGAGAGGCAATCGTCATTTGGCGGTTTCTTATGTAAGTCTTCTTATTCATGATAGAGAAGTGTATACTATTTCGGTTTATGTTGTGTTTGAAGATCAATTTGCTAAGGCTATTTCTTGTTATCAAGAAAGAAAGTATGAACATGATGAGACAATTAGTTACTTGGTATGGAGGCCTAATAAGAATATAATTAGGCATGAGGTTATCTTAAACAAATTTACTAGAGTGATCAACTGTACATGTAAGTATTGGAGTGAAATGGGTTTATTGTGTTCACATTCTCTTCGTATTTACAATATTCATTGTGTTCAAAAGATCCCCGAGGAATATATTCTTAAGAGATGGACCAAAACAGCTATGTGTAGTCATGTGGTTGATGAAGAAACTAGTGAGGAGAATGTGGTGGCATCTTCTATTTGGAGGGCTCAAATTTTAAGAAAGTTTGTTCAATTGGTGACATCTTGTTAAGATTATGTTAAATCAAGAGCTGAAATTGAATTTACTTTTAATATGCTAAGAGAAAAGGTGGAGAGGGTTAGAGGGCCAATAAATTTTGATGGTGGAGAAGAGGTTGAAGAGGTTCCGAAAGAAGGTCAACCTATTCAAAATCGCAAAACTAATAGAAAAAAAAAAGGTAAGAGAAATGATAAGCGAAAAAGTACTGTTGAAAAAGCTTGCAATAAATCTAAGGGGTGGAAGAAAAAGGTTGATAAATATAAGGATGAAATGAAAGCTACTGCTAAAATTTTTTTCCAGGTATATTTGAACATAATCTTATCTTATGTGAATATTACCTTTTTATAACTGAAAAGTTTTAAAATAGCGTTTTTATTGTAGGTTTTAGATGATGATGGTGATCCCATGATTTATTCACATCCAATAAAACAAGGTTCAAACTTAATATCCTTCCAAAACAAAAGAATTTTCAACAAATGCTAATGGTAACTTTTTTAATATTTTTTAAATTGTAAATTTCATCATATGTTATTGTAGATTATGTTGTAGATTATAAACATAGCTGTTATTTTTATTTTTAAGGGTGTAGGCCGCCCACCTGCAAGAGGAAACACTAATCAACCTTCATGTGCACCAGCAGGCGGAAACATTATTAACTCAACAAATGCTTCTCAACCTTATTCGTAATTTTTGATTTGAATTTTTAATTGTTATCATATAAACTCTATATATTAGATTATGAACATAGGTGTTATTTTTTTTTTTGATAGGGTGTAGGATAACTCTAATAAGTCAAGCAATACTAGTCAACCTTCATGCGCACCAGCAAGTGGAAACTTAACTAAGTCAAAAAAAATTTCTCAACCTTCATCATCAAATGTAAGATATGAAGTTTCCTTTTGTGAAAGTTTATAATTCAAATATTAATAACATTTGTCTTACATTTGAACATCGTTTAAATTAAGTAGGTATCAAGTTGATTAGGACCTCAATCTAAAAAAAGAAAACATCCTGAAATGACTCATAACAAAGGTTTTCAAGTAAGTATGAACATTTTCTTTTTTAATTTTGAATTTTTGCGTTTTCATTTTGAACTTTTGTTTTTTTAAGTATTCTTGTATTTTTTGTGTTTTTAGTATTTTGATGCTCGTTGCAATGCAAGGAATGAAGAGTCTTCTAATGCTTCTGGATCTTCTAAGGTTTCACATTATGATGAAATATTATCAATTTTTGACAAGACAAGTAATACTTAGATTAATTATTCTTATGATTAAAATTGTAATTATATACAAATATAATTCTTATTAGTTTTTAACATATAAATCTTTTTTTTCATTGTTTTTATATTTATTATTACTTTGTATTATTTTGAAAGCATTATGAATTAATAAAAATGTAGAAAAAATATTGTATTAAACGAACAACTAGACTTGCATTTTTGAACATAAGTTTAACGTAAACAGTTACTAATTTAACATAAAATCTCAATCCCAAATTTAACAACAATTGTCTTTTAAACTTAAAATTCAAACACACTTAAATAAAACCACAGTTTCTTGCAATGTAATTAATTCGATTATCATTAATTTTCCTCAATCCTTCTTCTTGTAGCCCTCTTTACTCTCCTTCTCTATTGGTGGTACTTAGAATTATTTCTACACAATATTTCACCAAGAGCTTCCGGTTTTGATCAATATGATTTCATAAAAATGAACATGTGTAGAAAACAAATGAACATACTTATAATTATGAATAAGATTGTTTAAAAACTTACATCATTAGCCACCAAGTCACAAACCCACTCTACCAAAGGTTTTGTGGTGTATGTCTCCATATGTTTTATCAAGTAAACACCACAATTCTTATGATCCCAATTGCTTCTCCATTTTAATCAAATCTGTTTTGGAGCTCTTTACTTTGTTGACATCAGCTTCTTTGTAATCTTTAGTTCGTAGAAAATGTGCAAAAGCTTCAAGTTGAAATATTAAACTGTTTAATAGCTGAACACTACAGGTGAATTTACTGAACACAGAGCAAAAAATAATTGAACAAAGCAAATTTAGGAATTTACCATTTTTTTCTAAATTGTCTTCATATTTGTGACTTGCTTTCATTGGTAGCTTTCTGTTATCAATTAAGTCAATTGTGCCATTGTACATGTTGATGCACATCAAATAGTAAAGCTTAGATGTAGCCACGGGTAATAAGAATTGCATAAAGTCTTTTGTCCTTCGAATGCCGCTGTTTCTCATTTCATAGTGCAATCTTTGTGCAATTTTTTCAAATCTTATTTCTTTGGTAGTGTTTGCACTTGCACCTTTGTCTGTGCATACTATCAGCTGCATTTTACATTATACAATAATGAACATGCTATATAATAATAATAATAATGAATATGCTATTTAACAATGATGAACATGCAATATAATAATAAAGAACATTAATATAAGAATAATGAACATTTTATAGAATAATATTGAACATTCTAAACATATTGATAAACACTCTAATATGAAGTATATGTTCTTACATATGGCATTGTGGAAAAGTAAAGACAGTGTTTTTTGCCCTTGAAGTTCAGAATATGAGCCCAAGCATCAATAACGGCAATGTCGACTTCTACATCTGTTCCAAGTAGTGTCTTAATTTCACCTCTGTTGACACTGTTTTCTCCATCATGGTACAAAACCTTACTACCAAAACAAACAAAAAAAAATTAACAGTTATTAAATAATGAACAATGCTAATTAATTTATGAACAGTGTGAATTACTTTATGAACAATATAAAATTCACTTATGAACAATACAGTTCAAAGATAAAACTTACTCATTAGGTCCATCACTGAATGTATGATTAGAAATAGTTGCATTCATTGCATTAACATCCTTGAACAAATCTTTGTATTTAATCATGAAAGGGGATTTGAGACAAGGAGGCAGTTCTTTAATTTCTCTTCTTGGTCTGTTGTTTGCCTCAGCATTCTTTGGTCTAATTGAATAAACATGAAATTATTGTTAAGGATTTATGAACAATAAAGGTAGATAAATGAACAACATAGGTCATAAAATTAACGTTAATTTTAATTTCTTAAATGAACAATAATTTTACCTCTCTTGTTTTTCTGTTGCACTCTTTTCTGGCTCAATTTGTAATTTTAGCTTAGTATCTTTTTTATTTGTCTCCCTGATTAAATTTAAATGAACAAATAATATATTCAATTGAATATTAGGTAAATTTATATGAATAAACAATATGTTAAATTAGTATTTTTCTTTTACCCTTGTGCTATTTTCGGATTTTTTTGTTCCTCACTTGGTGCTGCTTCTTTATATCTGAGATCAATACATAATGTAGATAAAAATGAACATAAATAAAAATAAAATGAACAAGTATAACAAACTTAACCGTAAGTTTAATAATACTTATATGCAAAAAATTTACATTATAATACTAGTTCATCAGAATCACATTAGTTTTCCCAAAATATTTACAATACAAAAGTGCTTCATCCTAATATTTTTTCATTTAAATTACATTTTGTCCAAAAAATTTCAACATACTTCATCCTAGTACTCAACCCAAAAAATTTCATCCTAATGCTTCATCCTAGCACTTCAACCATTATATGTCCTACATAAAAACTAATGTCCATTTCAGAATTATTTTACCCTTCATTAAATGGGAAGTCTCCCGAAAGTGGCTGGCCAAAAATATCTGCCATAGTCGTATCTTGGTTGTTCAACATACTATCAAATTCTGACGGATCAAATATTAGAACTTCTTTTGTTTTAGTGAGGGTTCTAGCCCAAGCCTTAAGTCGATTTTTACTCCACTTCCTCCTGAAATAACAAATTCTTGGGGGTTAGGGGTTGGAGTTGAATGGATCCTCAAGTCCCAAGGATTACTCGAGTCCAATGAATCCGTAGCCTTCCCTTTTCCCTTAGCTGCTGCTCTCTTTTCTGCTGCTGTCTTCTCAGCTACTCTCTTCAAATATTGTCTCTCAACCTCATCCAATGCACTCAAAAAAGACTCAGTCCCATACACATCTTCATCTTGACTCAAGATTGAAGGTTCCTTTAACTTCTTTTCAATGAACTCTTCCATTGTTTTGAAAAGAAGATTGTTGGGAAGAGTTCTTTAGCATGGTTGAGTTTTTTTTTGCCATCTTTGACAAATACCCACCTAGAGTTTTAGCCAGATCAATAAATTCCTCCATCAAATGCTCCTGCAAAATTAACATAGCATATAGAGAATATGAATATTCAGTATCCTATTATGAACATCTATAGTACAAAAAAATGAACATAATATGTTTATATATAAATATGCAATATTGAATATAAAAATTATACTTTGAATCGCAAGAACAAACATTATGAATATATAATATTAATATTATGAACAAAGATTATGAAACATAAGAACAAACATTGAATTTTTTTTTATTTTTTTAAATCAAACCTAATTTGTTTTCTCTAGTACATTTCCTTGCTCTTCTGCAGCTCTTTGGATTTGGATCCTTGGTAACACAGTTCCTAATCCATAATTCTTCCCCTCGAACTTCATTCTCTCATAAACCATCTCCTTGTTCCAAATCGAAATCAGTGGCGGAGTTCTTGGTGTTACAATACTTTTTCCTTGCAATCGATCAAAGTAAGTCAACTGAACAAATATAAGAATAATTCGTATAAATAATATGAATAATTTAAAGGATTTTTTGACAATTACCACCTACAATTGGTGCTATTTTAGCAATTACCACCTACATTTTTTTTTTGTGGATTTTACCACCTACTATTTTTTAAAACATCAAAACTTCCCACCTACTTGGCTCTCAACTCAAATGTGAAGTCATGTGGGGCCCACTAACTACCTTCCCACCCTTTTTCCCTCCCTTTCTTTCTTTCTCTCTCAATTTCTCATTCCCCTATATTATACTCCTCTTAAAATTGGGAAAAGTCTTCAAATTGTGAAATAATTAACATGAATATGTAATTTAATTTGAAGTTTTTCCCTAATTTTGAGAGGAGTACAATATAAGGGAATGAGAAATTGAGAGAGAAAGAAAGAAAATGAAGGAAATAGGGTGAGAAGGTAGTTAGTGGGCCCCACATGACATCACACTTCAGTTAGGAGCCCAGTATGTGGGAAGTTTTGATGTTTTAAAATATAGTAGGTGGCAAAATAAAAAAAAAATAAAAAAACTGAAGGTGGTAATTGCTAAAATAGCAACAATTGTAGGTGATAATTGTCAAAAAAAAAAAATCCTAATTTAAATAACTTGAAGTAATAACTTTATCTAAAAACTATACTATATATGTATTTGAACAACAAGTATACCATTTTGAACAACAAAAATAAATTTATGAACAAATTACATAAATAAATCATTGACAATTATACGATTATGAATAACAGTAATAAATTTATGAGCAAACATAATATATAAATGAATAATAGCAATACCATTAAGAAAGACAGTGGACCCTTATAACCCTTTCTTGTTGCTTTTCCAATCAGAACTTGTATCCATCAAGCTGTTAAGTACATTCTTGCACCAATTATACTCCTTGATTTCATGACAATCTCAGAATGAATATAGGAACTTGTAGTGAAAAATGATGCTTTGCCTACATTTCATCAAACAATTGACGGCTAGCACAATGAAATCAATGACAAATATTTCATTTGCTTCACCCGGTTCTGTTCAATAAGATCTATTTTTGCATCCTTCTTCTTCTTCTTTGTTTTGTCCTTCTCTTCTTCCTATTCTTCAGGTGCATACTTTCCCAAAATCAAGTGTGTTTTTAGGCTTCCAAAAGTGATGTTGTATGCTTTTCTCCACCTTCATATTCAATATAAAATAATGAGTATGAGTTATAAGAATAATGAACATGCTTAAAGTAATAATGAACATCATTTAATGTATAATGAACTTTAATAAACTGAACATGTTTTAACCTTGTTAAAAGACTTTCTTCCTCTTCCTCATCATCAGATTCAACTATTTCTTCAACTTCTTCCACAACTTTTTCGCCTCTTGGGATTCCATATAATTCTTCTACATCATCTTCACAAATCTCAACAGATTTGTTGTAAGGCAAATACAATGTGTAACTGTTTTCTTCAAAGTTTTTCACTAGCCAAGCACAAATTTTTTGGTCATTTTGTGGGAGGTTAAGATCTAGTATAGATCCAAATCCCATTTGAACAACAAGTTCTCTTTGAGGAGGGCTCAAATGTTTTACAAA